CACAGTCCTCTCTACCGCTACACCCTGCATCGAGGTGACTTTTGAGTCGACTCAATAGACAAGCAGGCACACGCCGTATCCTATTGTCCACAGTCCTCTCTACCGCTACACCCTGCATCGAGGTGACTTTTGAGTCAACTCAATAGACAAGCAGGCACACGCCGTATCCTATTGTCCACAGTCCTCTCTACCACTACACCCTGCATCGAGGTGACTTTTGAGTCAACTCAATAGACAAGCAGGCACACGCCTCATCCCTCTCATCCCTCTCATCCCTCTCATCCCTCTCATCCCTCTCATCCCTCTCATCCCTCTCATCCCTCTCATCCCTCTCATCCCTCTCATCCCTCTCATCCCTCTCATCCCTCTCATCCCTCTCATCCCTCTCATCCCTCTCATCCCTCTCATCCCTCTCATCCCTCTCATCCCTCGCATCCCCCTCATTCCATGCATGCATGCACATGGTGTGCCCATCAGGTGGCTCAAGTGGTCCCCGTGGCCCCTCTCATCCCTCTCATCCCTCTCTCCCGTGCATGCATGTGTGCGCTGCTGTGCCCATCAGGTGCCTCAAGTGGTTCTCTATCGCCTCTCCCCTGCCACGGCTCTCCTCGCTCGGCTGCTCCTTAGCTTCCGTCACCCCTTTTACTCCCTTGTCAACCTCGTGCTACTGGAACCGGTACTCCTCCTCCCTCCCCCTTTTGTTCCTATATTCCTAGGTCACTTTTGAGTCGACTCAAAAGCCACCTTGATTCCGTCACCCCGTTTACTCCCTTGTCAACCTCGTGCTGCTGGAACCTGTATGCCTTCTCCCTCCCCCCCTTTCTGTTCCTTCCCACTTTGTTCCTTTCCTCTCTCTGCCTTTCCCCTCCCCCTCTGTTTTGGCTAGCTTGTTCTTCCAGAGAGTGATTTCCACTAAAATCGACTTTTTTTTTTTTTTTTTTTTTTTTTTTTTATGGGGAAGGGGGGGGGGGGGGGGGGGGGGGGGGGGGGGGGGGGGGGGGGGGGGGGGGGGGCGGGGAGGGAATTTTCTTTCTCTTTACTCGGCTTTCCATTCTCCTCCCCTTCCCCTTCTGGTCCGTGGCTCAAACTTTCTTTGGCTTGCAGCTTGTTCCGGAATTTATCCAAGACGATGCCACTCCTGAAGCTATAGCTGGTGCAACAATGGAGCTGCTTGTGAGTGAATCCGCTCACTCACTGCAGCTTGCAGGCTATGAGAAGCTTCCTTCCCTCCTTGGAAAGCCCGGGGTTTCGCTGCGAGTGGCTCAATGCATCAAAGAACAAGCAAGGCTAGGCAACAGGTGAAACAGATTTGCATGGTACAATGCCTGCTTGTAAAATTTTCCGAGTTTCCGTACAGTGTTGTAGTTAGTGCAGTGGAATTCTAAGGTGTTTTTTCATAAGCTAAGCATCATCGTCGTCTGATTTGAAAATCAGCTTCTTGGGCAATGCGTGACTTGCACAACCGGGTAAATGAGCCAAAATAAGGTACAAAATTCAGCCGAGAGGAGGTTTCAGCAAGAGAGTGAAACCCAATCATGCTTGTATCCCAGGCAGGCAAACCAGCCCCAGGTTGCTTCCCAGCTCTGATATTTTAGTGTTGCCCCCAACTTTTTCGTTAACTATTTCAATTATGCTTACATTTGTTGTGTGTACATGCTCTTTCAAACAAGTCTTCTCAGAACGGGGACGTACCAATTTAGCATCCATCAATCGCACCACGTGCCGCGTCAGCCAATCTATGTTGAGAAAATCTGCACGTGGGACGATTCACAGGTGCACGTGGACCATGGTCGTCAGCATTTCTGCAGATACAGTTCTCCACCACTCACAGGACATCCTCGGTTACAGTTCCTAGGCGAAATTTCATTCGTTGCTGATCCGCCGCTCGTTAATGTCAAGCGTATACAAGCAATCACTGGATGACACTCGGGATTCCCCAATTCATAAAGTTGGCGAACTGCGTACTTCTGCTGTGGTCCCCACAATATGTCTGACGTGGCAAGGAGCACCAAGCCCCAGATTCCAGCGTCAGCGCGCCCAAGATCCAGTTGGCTACGCGCCTACCCACTTGTTCCTTGAAGGGAAAGGATCAAATTGGGGCCGAAGTGCCAGAGGAATGAGCAAAGTAGGGCCAGAAAATCTCGACCGTAGGATTTCAACCCCGAGCTGCTCAAGAGGCTAGGCGAACAAGCCGAACCGTGAATGAAAGAGAAATACTACCAGCACCAAACTTCGTGTCCGACTTATTTTAAAAAGGGTTACGACCGCCGTCTACTACTACGCGCGCATCGCGTTCTTCTGGAAGTAAATATTGCTGTGTTAATTTGTGAGTCCAAAAAAATATATTTTATTATGGGTGATACATATCACTACCTGATCGGAAACTCGCAGAACAAAAAATATTACCCATTTGGAAACGGATGCGACTAGGGAGGCATCAACCCTAAACACAACGAAGGTTCCCGTTTTTAGGGTTGATCCATCCCGAAAATGCATCCAGGTTCCCCAGGGGTTTTTGTTTTTTTGGCTGCCCTAAGAGTTTCTGGCTTGCTAAACGACGCTATTGGGTGGAAGTTGATGAATCAGTAACCATTTCCATGAATAATGACGCGCGAGCGAAAATGCGAATGTGTGACGGACATACGTTCAATAAATGATAACCCTCTGCAAATACTTTTTTGCGCGGTGGTTTTGTTAGTTCCGGGCCTCACGGCCCCTTTTCGCTCACCTCTCGGGCACTGTTCGGCCCCTGTATGCTCTTTTCCCTTCCTTGAAAGCACCGTAGAACTGACACGAACTGGCGTGTGACATGAATGACGTGACATTCTCCGATGGGCTGAAGGTGCACAGGACAAGCAAATGCTTGTTTGACATGTTGGCTGGTTGGGCTGGGTTGGGTTGGGTTGGTTTGGGAGGCTTATGTGATGTCATGTGCGAGCAGAACGAAAGTCCCTGAAGTGTCCTCAGGACGCGGTAAAAGTGCAAATATCGCAGGATCGTCTGCACATATAGATCCTCGCAATCGATTGGGCAGATCGATTTGCGAAACACGGCGATCGCGACGTTGTAACGATCGCTACTGAGATTTGACAGATCTCCCGCGATCAGTGATCAGTCGCATTCACACTCTGTACAAAAAATTGGGCCAAAAAGTGTACAGTAGCATGGTTACAGCGTAGTAAATAGGGTAACCAATCCGCACATCGATCGTGACTGACGATCGATCGTCTACTTTTACCGCGTCCTCATTTCTCCTCTCCTCTCCACAGCACCAACCAGCACCAGTTCGAACACATCAGGACGGGGACAACGGCCAGCAAACCATCTCAGACAGAAGGTCTGAAGGAGCAAGACCAACTCTTCTGGTCAACGTCGTTGCGACGACGCCAACTGACAACGCCTTGGTATCTTGGCTGATCAGTAAAAGCACTCCAGCATTGTGGGTTTCCGTTCGTAGCCGCCATCCGCTTCGCCTTGCAAGTTTGTTGCACCAAGGATTTAGCATTGAGGCGTTTCCTAACGGGACGGGGCTTCGTATTTAATCCCCAGTAGTTTGGACTCAGCCATGGTGACATCAGCGTCTTGAAGCTTCGAAAGACTGACACTTCAATGCTCTGAGATATTATTGTGGTAAGACGTTTCGTTAGAGAACTTGCCGATATCAGCGTTAGCGCCATTGTCTCTCATTACGATAAATGACCCGTGTGCTGTGTGTAAAAGGGGTGTGCATTTCGCCGTCATCCTCCAACGCCTCTGACACCAACGCTTTTACGGTCTCTAATCTGGCAGGTTGCATTTCGCGCTGGCCCTGAGCCAGAGCCACTCGGAAGTGAGTGACGTGGCGTCCGCACGACGAGTCCCAGAAAGCTACTGAGCTACATTCGGTCCTAGAAAGCTACATCTGACACGAGTCAGGACGGGTCTACATCTTTCAAACCGCTAAACCTGTCATTTTTGAAAAAGTTTTTCACCTTAGTATATCAAATCAGGTCAGATCAGCCAGACGCGTTTTCCAATGGCGTCAGGGCAGCACGGGTTCTATTTCGACGGTGACTTCGATCACATAACGGAAGATCAAGGGGAGCGGGAAAGGCCCGCGCCAGGCCAGCGTCACCCGCACCCCGCCCCGCAGCATTCCGCGCACCCAGCCAACCCGCAGCAGCGGCAGCAGCAGCAGCACCAGCAAGATCCGCGCATGCACCACTCCGCGCATCACGCGCACGCGCACAGGCCCCGCGCTGCGGCAGCGGGTAGCCATCCCCGGGCTCCGCACAGCGGGAGCTACGGCATCGGGGGGTCGCGCGGAGCGGGCGCGAGCGGAAGCACGGGGGCGAGGGCGGTAGGGCGGAGCGGGAGCATGGGGAGAGGGGGAAGGGCGGCGCAGAGTGGTCGGTATGATGACGATGAGTTGGACGAGGAGGAAGGGGTGGGGTCTGTGCAGGACCGGCCGTCGCTGCAGCAACGAGCGCACTGGCCGCAAAGCTACCGGTGAGTGGGAAAGAGGAGATCGAGGGAGAGAGGGGGGGATAGGGAGACAGAGGGAATGAAGGAGAGAGGTCTCGAAAGCGACGATGATAGGCGGCTGCGGCATTGTGCGTTTTTCCCTCTTTGACAGGCCAATGCTCGGTGTACATATGTCACATAGGTGAGAGGCGGTGGGTTTTTTGGTAGATAGCATACCATCGCTTCAGAGGGCCAAGTTTTCCTTGTTCTCCTGTTTCCTTCTGCTTGCTTATCCTCTGATCGTGCAAACAAACCACCCATACATATTCAACACCCTTCAGTCGCGTTCTCGTCACCTTCCTCTCCCAATAAACCCTCAACGCACACAATATATATACCTCTTGTTTTTTATATCTTCCCCTCCTCTCCCCTCCCCTTCCCCCCGATCATCATCACTCCTTTGCCCCACCCTCGCTTCCTTCGCCCCTTTTCCCCAACCCCGACCAAACCTCACCTCCCCCCTGCCGTCCCGTCTGTCCCCCCGTTACAGTCAATCTATGGACGTGTACAGTCACATGGCATCCCCCAGCATTCCGAAGCTCTTCAGCCCTCTGTCGCACCGACTGAGCGGGGCGCTCACCTCCCCACACCCCTCCCTCTCCTACCGCGGCAAGTCCCCCATCCTCTCCGCATCAAGCTACACCCAGCCGCAGCTGCAGCAGGGACTGCTGCCCCCGCACCAGGAGCAGCAGCAGCAGCAGCACTACCAGCAGCAGCAGCAGCACCACCACCACCACCAGCAGCAGCAGAGGAAGATCTCACCAGACGGTCAGCTCTTGATAGGCGCCGATGGGCGTGTATCCGAGGCTGCGGCGCCTGCTATCCCGGAGCTAGGCCGGCGCGGCTCTGGAAAAGCAGCAGCGGAAGACGAGGAGGATGAGGACGATGACGAGTATTATGACGGGGAGGAGGACGGGGAGGAGGAGGAGGAGGAAGAAGACGAAGAGACGTACTACGAGCTGCAGGGCAAGGGGAGTGGGAGTAGTTTCATCCAGGCGATGTTCAACGGGGTGAATATCCTTGCAGGAGTGGGTGTGCTCTCCACGCCCTACGCGCTCATGCAGGGGGGATGGGCGGGGCTGCTGCTTCTGGTGCTGCTGGCGGCGATCTGCTGTTACACGGGCCTGGTGCTCCGGTTCTGCCTGGATAGTGAGCCGGGACTGGAGACATATCCGGACATTGGCGAGGCTGCTTTTGGGCAGATGGGACGCCTGCTGATATCGGTGAGAGTCACGGTGGAAAGAGTGAGAAGGGCGGAGGGGAGGGGAAAACGGGGGAGAGAGGGAGGGATGGAGATAAGGCGTGCTCATGGTAGATTCGAGCAGCTGTCATGTCGCAGATTTGTTCAGAAACTGTAATTTCTTTTTGGGATGAATCTGGCTTCATAGTCCTCATGTCTGGCCCAAGTTTTTTATCCCTTCCCGTGTGTGTTCTCGCTTCTCTCCTGACCTTGCCTGTCTCTCCCTCCTTGTCTTTCCGCGTCCGTCCTTTCATGTGCTGTGCCCCAATACCATTCCAGATCGTGCTCTACGTGGAGTTATATGTAAGTTGCTAGTGTGTGTAACAACCATCCATTTTCCCTCTCTTGATCGCATGTTTCTGTTCTGTCTGATTTCTGAGGAATGAATGAAAAGTATGCACACCACCGCCCATCTCTTCTACGAGTTTGTCTGTCGCCCTCTGCCTCCCTGGCAAACTAAGGCACATCACATAAGTACAAAGCCAAAGGCAAATGAGCCACATGCACACAAAGCCACCAGTACCCTAAACCCTCACCGCCCCTAAGATTCCGTTTTTTCTCCCCCATACAACCTTCCTGCTCCGCCCGTCTCCCCCTTTCTCTTCCACTATCCCCGGTCTCCCATGATCCTGCATCCTCCACCCAACCCCCCCCCCCGTGTTCACCAGGCATGCTGCGTGGAGTTTCCGATCCTGGAGGGCGACAACCTAGGCGCCATGTTTCTGCAGCTGAACGCCCCATTGCCTCCCCTGTTTCCTCCAAACCCTCCTCTGTTACCCCCCTTTCTCCCCTCTGCACAGGCATGCTGCGTGGAGTTTCTGATTCTGGAGGGCGACAATCTAGGCGCCATGTTTCCGCAGCTGGGCCTGTCCGTGCTGGGCGTGCACCTGACGTCGCGCCATCTGTTTGTGCTCGTGTCTGCGCTCTGCATCCTGCCCACCATGTACCTGCGCGACCTCAGCCTCCTCTCCTACGTCTCTGGTGAGCTTGTTACGGCCACGGTATCACAGCTCAGCTTACAGGCGCTCTCTGCATGGCTATCTCATACTGCCCAGTGCCCACCATGTACCTGCGCGACCTCAGCCTCCTCTCCTACGTCTCTGGTGAGCTTGTTACGGCCACGGTATCACAGCTCAGCTTACACAGGCGCTCTCTGCATGGCTATCTCATACTGCCCACTGCCCACCATGTACCTGCGCGACCGACCTCAGCCTCCTCTCCTACGCCTCGGTGAGAATGTTGTGGCCACCCTGTCGAGATAAGATAATCAAACTCTGTCGAGATAAGATAATCAAACTCTGTCGAGATAAGATAATCAAACTCTGTCGAGATAAGATGATCAAACTCTGTCGAGATAAGATAATTAAACTCTGCCGAGATAAGATAATCAAACTCTGTCGAGATAAGATAATTAAACTCTGTCGAGATAAGATAATCAAACTCTGTCAAGATAAGATAATTAAACTCTGTCAAGATAAGAAAATTAAACCCTGTTGTAAACCCACTAATCCCTCTCCCCATCTCCCTCCCACCCCAACCGCACACACCAATGCTATCTCCCCCTTCCCCTCTCTCCCTCCCCTTCCTCCTCTACCCACCGTGTCTGCGCATTCCCCTTCCCCTCACTTTGCCTCCCTTGTCTTTCAACCCCCTCTGCGTATGCTGTGCAAACCTGTGCTGCTGCTGCTGCTGCTGCTGCTGCTGCTGCTGCTGCTGCTGCACTCAGCGGGGGGAGTGGTAGCGTCGGTGGTGGTGGTATCCTCAGTGGCGTGGGTGGGAGTGGCAGATGTGGGATTCCACCAGTCGGGTCCGCTGCTCAGCATATGGGGCATGCCTGTCACCATCGGCCTCTTTGGCTTCTGCTGCTCTTTCTGAGGGACCTTAAAAAAACACTCCTTCTGAACGCCTCTCCTCCAACTCTCCCTCCCTTCTCTTTCGATCTGCTCTCTTTCCCTCTCTCCCTCTGTCTCTCCCTGTGCACACCTGCTGCTGCGGCCAGCGGGGGGAGTGGTAGCGTCGGTGGTGGTGGTATCCTCAGTGGCGTGGGTGGGAGTGGCAGATGTGGGATTCCACCAGTCGGGTCCGCTGCTCAGCATATGGGGCATGCCCGTCACCATCGGCCTCTTTGGCTTCTGCTACTCTTCTTTAGGCGCCTAAAGAACACGCTCCTCCCCACACACCCCCTTTTCAATTCCCCCCTTCCTTGCCTCTCGATCCGCTCTCTTTCCCTCCCTCCCTGTGCACACCTGCTGCTGGCGTGGTGCTCCCGTGTCGCAGCGGGGGGAGTGGTGGCGTCGGTGGTGGTGGTATCATCAGTGGCGTGGGTGGGAGTGGCAGATGTGGGATTCCACCAGTCGGGTCCGCTGCTCAGCATATGGGGCATGCCCGTCACCATCGGCCTCTTTGGCTTCTGCTACTCGGGCCATGCAGTCTTCCCCAACATCTACATGTCCATGCGCAACCGCAATGAATTCAACAAAGTGCTCTACTGCAGGTGGGTAGGTAGGCTACTGCAGGTCGGTTCTCTGCTTTTGAGGCGCCTAAAGAAATCTCTCAACATGAAAGCTGCGTGTGAGGAGTCTATTTTTTAGGCACCTAAAAAAGGGCCATGCTGTGTTCCCCAACATCTACATGTCCATGCGCAACTGCAATGACTTCAACAAAGTGCTCTACTGGAGGTGGGTACTCTACTGCAGGTGGGTAGGCTACCGCAGGTCTGCTGCGGATAGCCTGTTGCAGATAGGACGCCCGCTAGCCTTGATTCCTTGACACGGGCATGCCCATGTCCTTTTTTTTTGTTTCTTTGAGTTTGAGTTTGTTTTTTGGTGAGCAAAAGCGTTAAGACAAGGAGGACTGCACTTGCTGTTTGGTTACGAAATGAGAAGGAAGTCTTCGTTTTGGGGTAATCAAACGCCTAGTAGGATTGCTTGGCAGGTTTTTTTCCAAACCTTCGTTTTGGGGTTACAACATGTTATTTTCCAATAAAATGTACGATTGCTGTACTTTTACTTTTACCCCCTTCCCACTCCCTCTCTCTCAAACCCCCATCAGCTTCATCCTGTGCACGCTCATCTATGGCGGCATGGCAGTCATGGGGTTCACCATGTTCGGAGCTGCCGTGATTCATGCCCGTTTGCCTCCCTTCCTCCCTTCCTCACAACCTCTCTCTCCCCCCTTTCTTGCAGCTTCATCCTGTGCACGCTCATCTATGGCGGCATGGCAGTCATGGGGTTCACCATGTTTGGGAGTGCCGTGATTCATGCCCGTATGCCTCCCTCCCTCCCTCCCACCCTCCCTTCCTCACACCCCCTCACCCCCCATCGCAGCTTCATCCTGTGCACGCTCATCTATGGCGGCATGGCAGTCATGGGGTTCACCATGTTTGGGAGTGCGCTGGAGAATCAGATCACGCTGAATCTGCCCCGCCAATTCATCGCCTCCAAGATCGCCATCTGGACCACTGTGAGTGAGCCTGAGACGATTTTTGAGGCGCCTAAAAATTTTGGACCACTGTGAGCTCACTCACCTGAGGGGGTCTGTGTGTGTGATGTGATGTGACTGTAAGGGGGGTGATTTCCTTTTGGGAACGTGACTGATGTGTGACTGTCAGGATATGTGACTGTAACGGGATGTGAATACAAGGGAATGTGGCGGTAAGGGAAGGGATGTGACTGTAAGGGGGATATTTGTGAGCTAACGAGGAGGACCACAGTGGATTGACAGGGTGAGGTCCTGTCTGTGATTGTTCCTGTAAAACCGTTTATTATCAACCATGGTTCTGCATCTGCTTGCACCTTCTTTCTGCCCCAACCCACCCACTCACCCACCAAGGCTATTTCCAACAATGTCCTTCATTCATTCCCTCTCCCCCTTCCGTCCTCTTTTTCGCTCTTTCCCCTGCTCCCCCTCCTCCTGCTGTCCTCGCTCCTCTCTTGTGACTCCATGGCAGGTCGTCAACCCCTTCACCAAATATCCTCTCATGCGACCCATTTACTCACCCCTCTCCCTGCTGTTTCACTCCACTCCACTCCACTCCACTCCACTCCACTCCACCTGTCCTCTCTCACTCGCTCGATCCCCCTTGCGTTTTTCATGCCTCTATCGTCTTTCTTCCCGCCCTGCATTCGCGCCAATGCCATTGCAATCGCCCGTTTTTTCACTCAGCCCTACATAATGCATTCCGCTGCTCTCTGCTTCTAGTCTCTGTTTTTCTTAACCCCTCCCTGCTCTCCTCCTACTCTCCCTCCTGACCCCTTCCCCCTGACCCCTCTCCCCTCCCTCTGCCCCTCTTTCTTCCTTCCCCTCCTGCCTCTCCCTCTCCCTCCACCTCTACCCCCATCCTTCTCCGTCTCTCCCACCCTTCCCCCCTCTTCTTCCATACGTAACCACCTTCAATGTCTTATTACCATCGTCGCCTCTGCCCCCCAAGCACATACGCGCTCTCCATGACGCCAGTGGCGCTGTGTCTCGAGGAGCTACTCCCGCTGGACCCGTACTCCCCGGGCTACCGCCGGGCCTCCCTCGCCATCCGCACTGCACTTGTTGTCTCCACCGTCGTTGTCGCCCTGCTCGTGCCCTTCTTTGGTGAGATGCTTGCTTGTGCCTCTCTTTGTGTTGAGGTGGCCTTTGAGTCGGTTCCATCGTCGTCGGGCCTCCCTCGCCATCCGCACTGCGCTTGTTGTCTCCACCGTCGTTGTTGCCCTCCTCGTGCCCTTCCTTGGTGAGACTGCTGCTGCTCTTCCTCTTTGTTATGGTGGACTTTGAATCGGCTCAGAAGTAGTCGGGCCTCCCTCGCCATCCGCACTGCACTCGTCGTCTCCCTGCTCCCTCGTGCCCTTCTTTGGTGGTATTCTTGCGGGAGGTGGTTTTCTTTTGTGAGACAGCTGGCCTGGCCTGACCTGACCTGCACTTGCTGTCTCTGTCTCTTTTAAATCGCACTTCTCTTCCATCCTATATGCTCCTCCTTGGCTGCAACACTGCCACTGCATGTTTGGCGCCTCAAGCCTTATCGTGGGACTGGATTCTCTGGATTGTGGGTAGGGCCGGCCAGAGGAGCCAAGGGGGGTGAGAGGAACCGAAGGGGCTGAGAGCGTCGAGCGGCAGGAGAGTGGGAGGGAGAGGAGGTGGGGGAGGATTTTGTGTTCCTGGTTGCTGATTGCCCTTTGTTCGGGTTCGGGGTAATTTCTTCCTTTCGGCTCCTACCTCGTGCCGCAACAAGCTGTGCATCTCTCTTACCTTTCTCTCTCTCTCTCTCTCTCTCTCTCTGTGTGTGTGTGTGTGTGTGTGTGTGTGTGTGTGTGTGTGTGTGTGTGTGTGTGTGTGTGTGTGTGTGTGTGTGTGTGTGTGTGTGTGTGTGTGTGTGTGTGTGTGTGTGTGTGTGTGTGTGTGTGTGTGTGTGTGTGTGTGTGTGTGTGTGTGTGTGTGTGTGTGTGTGTGTGTGTGTGTGTGTGTGTGTGTGTGTGTGTGTGTGTGTGTGTGTGTGTGTGTGTGTGTGTGTGTGTGTGTGTGTGTGTGTGTGTGTGTGTGTGTGTGTGTGTGTGTGTGTGTGTGTGTGTGTGTGTGTGTGTGTGTGTGTGTGTGTGTGTGTGTGTGTGTGTGTGTGTGTGTGTGTGTGTGTGTGTGTGTGTGTGTGTGTGTGTGTGTGTGTGTGTGTGTGTGTGTGTGTGTGTGTGTGTGTGTGTGTGTGTGTGTGTGTGTGTGTGGTGTGTGTGTGTGTGTGTGTGTGTGTGTGTGTGTGTGTGTGTGTGTGTGTGTGTGTGTGTGTGTGTGTGTGTGTGTGTGTGTGTGTGTGTGTGTGTGTGTGTGTGTGTGTGTGTGTGTGTGTGTGTGTGTGTGTGTGTGTGTGTGTGTGTGTGTGTGTGTGTGTGTGTGTGTGTGTGTGTGTGTGTGTGTGTGTGTGTGTGTGTGTGTGTGTGTGTGTGTGTGTGTGTGTGTGTGTGTGTGTGTGTGTGTGTGTGTGTGTGTGTGTGTGTGTGTGTGTGTGTGTGTGTGTGTGTGTGTGTGTGTGTGTGTGTGTGTGTGTGTGTGTGTGTGTGTGTGTGTGTGTGTGTGTGTGTGTGTGTGTGTGTGTGTGTGTGTGTGTGTGTGTGTGTGTGTGTGTGTGTGTGTGTGTGTGTGTGTGTGTGTGTGTGTGTGTGTGTGTGTGTGTGTGTGTGTGTGTGTGTGCAGGCTACGTGATGGCGTTCATTGGTTCGTTCCTTAGCATGACTGTGGTAGGTCCACCCCTCTCCTCCCCTGTACAGATACGACTACCCCTTGCTTGCTTGCTACAAATGAAGAGTGGGTTGGTATATGGCTGGTCCAAGCACCCCATGCCATTCCACTCCATTCCAATCCATTCTTTTCCCACCACCAAGCAAAGTCACTTCCGTCAACAAAATTGCTCCTCTGTAACCGTATCACTCTGTATCGCTCTTCACCATGTGTCAATCATTCTCACCCATGTCTCACTTCCGGAATTGTGTTGCTTCTCCCTCTGCAGTCCGTCATGCTGCCCTGTGCCTGCTACCTTCGCATCCTTGGCCCTAAAGCCACAATCTCCCAGGTGCGTTTTCAACCCCTAAACTTAAATCCCAAGCCCTAAAATGAATCTCAAACCCTACGTACTGATGAATCTGCACATAAAAGCCATACAGTATACTTGCACGTTTTCTTCCGTGCCATACACCATAAGAGTGGGTAAACTGTGGGAACGACCCTACCATACCATACCATGCCATACCATACCATACCATACCCTACTATACCATACGATACCATACGATACCATACGATACCATACGATACCATACGATACGATACCATACCATACCATACCATACCATACCATACCATACCATACCATACCATACCATACCATACCCTACTATACCATACCATACCATACCATACCATACCACACCATACCATACCATACCATACCATACCATACCATGCCATACCATACCATACCATACCATACCATACCATACCATACCATACCATACAACCGTACCATACCTTACCTTACCATGCCATGCCGTACCATACCATTCCTCGTCCTTCCTAATCGCTCCCCCTCTCCCCCGACTTTGGTCTCCTTCTACCATCTTTCCCTCTCTCTCTTCCCCTCGCAACTCTCCCCTGCTCCCTGCCGTCGTTCCCACAGTTTACCCACTCTTCTCCCCAGCACCTGTTCTGCTATCTCTTCACCAGCATGGTGCTCATAAGAATTATCAAAAATGTTCTGTCATCTTCCCTTTCTCTCCCTGGCGCCTTTGCCGCCGCTTCTCCCCTGCTCTGTCTGTCCCCAGCACCTGCTGTGCTATCTCCTCATAAGCATAGGCTTCGTCTGTGCTGTTGCTGGCACGTACGCATCAGTGAAGGGCATTATTGAGAGCATGGGGGGAGGCGCACAGGGGAACAGCCTGCAGTTTCACCTCGCATCTTCACTCATCTCCTCGACACCGGCTTGATTGGATAGAGATACAGTGCACTCCCTTCCCTTGTGCCCATAGGCTGGGTGTTAAAGCAAGGGGAATGATGGAGATGGAGGAGGGGAGGGGGTGGGGGGGAAGGAGAGGGGGCTGAGGCGAGGAGAAATAGGATGCAAGGGGGTTTTGCATTCGGCGACTATTTATGAGCAAGAAATCACTCCGTTGGATGGCAGAATGAGGGTTGCTCGGTGATGCCACTCGATGGTCCTGCACCGCTCTGCATTGATCCGCACCACTCTGGTCTAGTCTGTACCACTCTGCACTGGTCTGGACCTCCCAACTCTGGTCTGCACTGGTGTGCGGCGAGGAGTATTAACATCATGAATTGAAGATGGCCTGAAAAAGGGGCTGGGTTTGCAAACGGTTATGCCCCAAGCGGGTGGCAACACTAGCAGGGCTGATTCTTGATAATAGGCACTTGATGTTCACCTTGACCTTCCATAGTTGCTGTGCTGTGTAGAGAGAGAAGCCATACCGTACTACAGTACTAGGCCCAATGCGCAGCTATTCCATTCCAATGCCCTTGTTCTGAATTAGTTATTGAAGCATAGGGGACTGCACTGGATGTCAGAGAAGGCCAGCTGTAATATGTGTTGCAGAAGGCATGCCTCGTTGTGTTACCTCCAGAAAACAGGCGAATTTCGAGGCGCCTCGAAGCTTGGCTAAGTTCCGCATACTGGTAGATTCACGGCGATAGCCTTCAGCCCATGTTACATGGCAGGAGGACATTGGAGGTGTCATGTAGTTCCCAGGATCGACCGGTAAGAGCTGATGCACCGAAGTCACCAGAACATCCACGGCATCATACCAGTAGTCTATTCTCGTCTCGAGGCGCCTCAAATCAACCTCAAGAATGCGGCTCAGAGCCCAAAGCGAGTTGACAGTACATGGGGGGGCGTCGCGTCAGGGCTGCAATGAACTAAAGTACGGTACGTAGCCCTCACTGAGGCGCCGTTACATGGCAGCGCGAGGGCCCAGCAGAATATGAGGGTCTTGGCCCATGTCACAGAAGATCCAGAGAAGAACATTCTCAAGGAAGGTAGAGAACTACAGTACGTAGAGTATGTAGCCCTCACTGAGCGGCGGCTACATGGCAGGGCGCCGGGCGCCACAGAATGAGAGAGCCATGTGACAGAAGGCCTGGGAGACAGACCCATCTTAAGGCACACTAAATAATATGGCGACGCATGCAGCCCTCACTGAGGTTTCGCTACATGGCGGGGCGTCGGGCGCCACAGAAGGAGAGAGCCATGTCACAGAAGGCCGGGAAGACCCTTCGTAAGGCGCATAAAAACATTACGGTTCGCCACTCAGCCCTCACTGAGGTGCCGCTACATGATGGCGGGGCGTCGGGCGCCACAGAATGTGAGAGCCATGTCACAGAAGGCCTGGAAGACCCATCTTATGGCGCATAAAAGAATACCGTACGGTACGGCATGCAGCCCTCACTGAGGTGCCACTACATGATGGCGGGGCGTCGGGCACCACAGAAGGAGAGAGCCATGTCACAGAAGGCCTGGAAGACCCTTCGTAAGGCGCATAAGAACATTACGGTTCGCCACTCAGCCCTCACTGAGGTGCCGCTACATGATGGCGGGGCGTCGGGCGCCACAGAATGTGAGAGCCATGTCACAGAAGGCCTGGAAGACCCATCTTATGGCGCATAAAAGAATACCGTACGGTACGGCATGCAGCCCTCACTGAGGTGCCACTACATGATGGCGGGGCGTCGGGCACCACAGAAGGAGAGAGCCATGTCACAGAAGGCCTGGAAGACTCGTAGCTTGCTCCTGTCTGAGGCAGCAGCGGAAGGTGGTGCTCTGTCCAGTATCTGAGTTGGCGAGGAGGAGAGGGCGAGTGGGACAGGGCGAGTAGGAGAGGGCAAGCCCACATTCCATTTTGAGTGGACTTAAAAAGAGTGAAAGAAGGCGAGGTAGGCAAGAACGAGCAGGGCTATGACTGCTACTTGGATGCGGCTTTTGAGGCTTGAGGCTTGAGGTGCCTCAAAAGGCGTGCCGTCTGTGGTACTCACAGTAGCAAAGGTGCGCAAGGCGAGGTAGGCAAGAACCAGAAGGGCTATAATTGCTACTTGGATCCGCATGTCAGCAGCGGGAGCGAGGGAGGGCGGGAGAGTGACAGAGGATGCGACTGTAGCTGCTGTCTCTGCGAATCGGTGGGTCTCCGCGACCAGGAGAGAGGCAGCGATGGTTATGGTAGAGGCGACTTGTGGTGGGACGTAGGGGGGGAACTCCCAGCTGGAGGTTGGGGGAAGGGGGAAAGCGCCGATGGGCAGGAAGGGAGGAAAGAGAAAGGAAAGGTGAGAATAGGGTGGTGGCGGCGGTGGTTATGGTGGAGGCGACGTGTGGTGGGACGTAGGGGGGGAACTCCCAGCTGGAGGGTGGGAAAAAGAGCAGGGCAAAGAGCAGCCGAGCATGAGGGGAGTAAGGAGAAGGTACAGGTGAGGATGGAGTGGTGAATGTGGTAAATGCTGAGAAACCTAGTGTTTTTTTTTTTTTTTTTTTTTTTTTTTTTTTTAAGATTATTTAGCAATTGTACACTATTAATTATTGGAACAAGATAGGGCTGTGATCGACACATGAAACGACGAGGAAAGCACCTGCAAGGGTTATTCACAGAAAGCGCACTTCACAGAAAGAAAACATGGAGAGAGCGCGAAGAGGAGGGGACGCACCTGGAAGGATGCGGCGCCTTGGCGGCGGCAATGTTTGCCAAGTGACGAAGGAGAGGAGGAGGGGAGATGATGAGAGAGAGGGCGAGAGGGATGAGGAATGCGAGGAGAGGAAGCAGGAGCGACGATGCAGTGTCCTGTAGACGTTGGGCTGGTGACGGGTATTGGTACCGAGGGAGGGAGAGACGGAGAGAAGGAATGGAAGAAAGGCTGTGATAGAAAAAAGAGCGCTGGTGATGCATACATGGCAGGCATGGAATGATATGCATGGGAAGACATGGCATGCTTGGTAAGGCATATGGGATAGACCCATGTGTCAACAGCCCACAAGTTATCGTCCCACATATGCCATCATCCCATATCCCATCAACCCATACGCCATCACATCACCCCATGTGCCATCACCCCATGTGCCATCACCCCATGTGCCATCACCCCATGTGCCATCACCCCACATCGCACCACCCCACATCCAATCACCCCATATCCCATCACCCCATATCCCATCACCCCATATCCCATCACCCCATATCCCATCACCCCATATCCGATCACCCCATATGTCATCACCCCATATGCCATCAATCCGTATGCCATCAATCCGTATGCCATCAATCCGTATGCCATGGCCTCATGCGCAACCGTGCAGTACCTTGCTTTGACCTCTGCCGTTGCTCGCCCTGCTCCTGCTGAAACTCCTGAAGCTTGCTGCAACGACACGCGGTCAGAATACAGTACAGACACACATGCACATGCACATGCACATGCACATGCGGCAATGTTTCAATATGAGACGGCTGAAAGCACATGCAGCCCTGTTGTGAGCCTTGTGTTTTCATGCATGCGTGGTCATGCAAAGATGTACAGACGGTGTTTATGGGAAGGACAGTTGAGTTGGCTGATGGGAGATGGACATGTGTTATGTGATGTGTCGATGTCATGAAAGCACCTACCTGTGACTTTTGAGAATTCTCGAATGTGATGTGTCGGCTTTTGAGTCGACTCAAAGGCATGAAAGCACCTACCTGTACATGGATAACAGCCCACCTGTCAATAACAGCCTTCACTCGCCGCACATCCCTCTCAAACCGATCCACTCGTTGCTCTACTGCTGCTTTTACTGCCTGTGATAGCAGGGAACCGCATGTACACATGCATGAATATATTGAAAAGCACGTGCACATGCCTTACTTATTGCGCTAGTGAGAGAGAGAGCCAATGTGTTACAAGAAGAATGAAAGTATGAGTATGCTCTATCCGCAAGGCGCATAAAAAATAGCCCTAGTTTGGACAAATGGACAGATGGACAAACGGACAGACGGACAGACGGAGGCACATTGGGAAAAAAAGCACAATGATCTAACCTGCTCTGATTTGAGGCAAGCACGCATCGTGCCTTGAACCAAGTGACTTTTGGTTTTCTCATGTCCAGTCAAAAGTCACCTCGTTAACCTGCTCTGATTTGAGGCAAGCACGCATCGTGCCTTGAACCAACCTCCCCCCCCCCCCTTCCCCTTGTTACCCCTTTTCCTCCCTTCGCTCTCTTCTCTTTATTTTTGAAAGTGTCCCGTCAGTGAATATTCTCTTTAGACTCTCTCGCCCTCCGAAATTTTATTCACAGTGCATACACACCTTATCCAGTATCTCTTGAACGAACGAGAATGTTTGTGGGCCTGCCTCTTTCCCTGCCTCCTTCGCTTCCTCTTTCCCTTCCTCCTTCCCAGCCTCTTTGCCTGCCCCTTTGCTCTCAGCCCCAGGAGCAGCCGCAGCAGTGGAAGCAGGAGCGGGGGCGGAGGAGGAGGATGGTGGTCGGAGGAGTGTGACTTGATCGGCCGTCAGGGAATGCAGCTCCTGATGGTGGTGGTGGTGGTGGTGGTGGTGGTGGTGGTGGTGGTGGTGGTGGTGGTGGTGGTGGTGGTGGTGGTGGTGGTGGTGGTGGTGGTGGTGGTGGTGGTGGTGGTGGTGGTGGTGGTGGTGGTGGTGGTGGTGGTGGTGGTGGTGGTGGTGGTGGTGGTGGTGGTGGTGGTGGTGGTGGTGGTGGCGGTGGTTGGGAGGGTGGGAGTGGGGGAAGGTGGGAGGGAGCATGCATGGAGGCATTAGCAGTCAGGGTGGCGAAGGATGGGAGCAAGGCCCATGCGGAATGCCGATTAACACACAACACAAGAAGCTCGAGAGAGAGAGCTGGAGAATCGTGGCCTGTTCCATGGCACATTTTCTTTTGAGTCGACTCGAAAGCCACCGCGGTGGGACCATGGGAGGGCGGAATGGGGAGCGAGGGTGGAATGGGGTGTGATGAGAGCGGTGATTGACCAACGAACCTTGACATTTGATCGGAGGTAGTCCACCACCGTTGCTGCTGTGCCTGCTGCTGCTGTGCTTGCCTTGCTCTGCCAGTCTCAGCGGAGAGAAGGAAGATGCGCAAGTAAGGAAAAGACAAACACAGGGAGTTGGTGTGTGGGAGGGGAAGCCTGAAAGGTTTAAAAAAGGTGAGACAAAACCTCACGTTGCGCAAGTGAGAGGGTGTCTGCGCTGAGACTTGTTCCAACATTAGGTGGAAAGAAGGAGAATGAATGGAGAGTGGGGAAACTCTTGCCTGAGGTAGGACGGCCACAAAATGCACGCGGTCAAGACGAGGGGTGTTCTCAGCCAGTTGCTGTTGCTGTTGCGGCTGCTGCTGCTGCTGGGTGTTAGATGGAAAGAGGAGGAGGGAAAGCTGGTTCGCGAGGCGGGAGGAGGGAGCGCGCACAGCCGCAACACTCATGAACACTGCGATGCAGACAGGATGGAGGAAAAGGCATGGGCGGAAGGAAGGAAGAAATGTAGGTAATTTTTAGCGACTCGAAAATCACAGCTAGGAGTCAGATAGCATGAAACACGGCATGGGAAAAGAGAGGGAGGCGGTTTTTTGCTCAACTAAATAATCAGCAGTAGCTGCAACACTCGTAAACACTGCCAGGCAGACAGCAAGAAACAAGGCATTTTTTAGAAATTTTGAAAGCAGAGTTGAGAGGATGGGAAGAGAGTAAAAGAGGGAGAAGATTTGCATGTATCTGAGACGTTCTTTCAGGCTTTCTCTCAGCAGTCAATGCAAGCTTGTTCAGGAAAATCACAAGCACCACCAGCATCATTCTATCGCACCTATGATAACATCAGCAGTAGCACCCAGCGCTGCAGTAGCTTCGGATAAAGCAGCAGCAGCAATGGCAGCAGCTGGTGGGGCTGAAGCAGCAGACACAGGGGCGGATGAGGAGGCGGATGAGAGTGGGGGGATGGGCGATGCAGCGGATTGGGGTAGACTCGGTAGAGGCAGGTCAACGAAGTCAATGCAGGGCAGGGAGCGGTCCTTGGAGATGCACACGTGGACAGATAGGAGGTCACGCGCAGCCTGGGAGGAGAGGGGCGGGTGGGGTGTGGGGGAGGGGATGTGAGGGAGGGGAGGTGGGGGCAGTCAGCGAAGTCAAAGAAGCGAACGCAGGCAGCAGGGCAGGGAGCGGTCCTTGGAGATGCACACGTGCACAGATAGGAGGTCACGTGCAGCCTGGGGGAAAGGGAGGGGGAAGAGCCGGCAGGAGGAGGAGGAATCGGGAGGATTTTTTTCTCTATCACGTGTGGATTGCGGCGACTTAGAAAGAGGATCAATGCAGGGCAGGGAGCTGTCCTTGAGCATGCACACGTGCACGGATAGGAGGTCACATTCAGCCTGGAGGGTGGAAGGAGAGCGGGGTTGGGATTGGGGAAGGGGTAGAGAGGGGAGAAGGGAATGGAGGAAACTGTGACAACATGAAGAGATAATGTGTTTTATGTTGATTCTGAACCAGCAATCTTCAGGGCAAGGCAGCAGAGTCAATGCAGGCTGAGGTTCTCACAGATGCAGCAGAGTGCACAAATAGGGGTCACGTCAGTGCAGCCTGGGGAAGGGAATTGGGTGTGACGGGTGGGAATTGGGGTTGAGTGAGCTTCGAATGCACTCACCACCCAGGACCCGTAAAATCCAAGGTCAGTAAGGCACTTGAAGGTCAATGGGACGGGGGGTGAAGGCAGGGCACAGGCCTTGCATTGCAGCACACGTGCGAGTACATAGGAGGATACGCATGGGAGGGGGGCGTACTGGCACGTGGTCGAGAGCACGGGCAACACCAGGCACAGCGGAAGCAGCGCCTTCGCCCGTGAGAGTATCCTTCCAGCTGCCACTTGTCACCACGCGAATGGCCGGCTCTGTGCCCGTGCTAGTGCTGGTGCTTATGGTGCCACTTGTGTTAGTGCTCGTGCTGGTGCCGGTGGTGTTGGAGGTAGCAAGCTTGGTTGATGCTGCTGCAGGAATGCTCTCTCCCATGTACCTGGCGTGTGGAGGTGGGCAGGAGCAGGAGAGAGTGTGTAAAAAGAAAAGGAGAGAGGGTGGAGAGAGGTGAGAGGTGAGAGGTGAGAGGGGGGATTGGAGGGCGATGAGAGGATGGGGGAAACGGGGTGGTCTGAGGGAAGAATAATGAGGTTGTGCGAGAGGGGGAATATGAGTGGGAAGGGAACGACACTCACACCGCCCAACAAAATCAATCAGAGCTAAACCACAAAAACTCGAGGCCATGGGCGTTCAAGTGCGATGCGCACCAACTGAGAAAGGAGCGCTTGGCAGTTGAGTCATCGCCCACTGGCAGCACTGTGAGTTTGTTTAGCGAGGTTTGAGACGCCTCACCATTCTTTGAGTCGTCGACTCAAAAGTCACCCCGTCAGCTTGTTTAGCGAGTTTTGAGACGTCTCACCACTCGAGAAAGGAGCGCTTGGCAGTGGAGTCGTCGCTCACTAGCTACCAGCACCGTGAGCTTGTTTAGTGAGTTAAAGCTGAGCTGGTCAACTTGAGACGTCTCACCATTCGAGGAAGGAGCGCTTGGCAGTTGAATCGTCGCCCACTAGCACCACCGTGAGCTTATTTAGCGAGTTCTGAGACGTCTCACCACTCGAGAAAGGAGCGCTTGGCAGTGGAGTCGTCGCTCACTAGCTACCAGCACCGTGAGCTTGTTTAGTGAGTTAAAGCTGAGCTGGTCAACTTGAGACGTCTCACCATTCGAGGAAGGAGCGCTTGGCAGTTGAATCGTCGCCCACTAGCACCACCGTGAGCTTATTTAGCGAGTTCTGAGACGTCTCACCACTCGAGAAAGGAGCGCTTGGCAGTGGAGTCGTCGCTCACTAGCTACCAGCACCGTGAGCTTGTTTAGTGAGTTAAAGCTGAGCTGGTCAACTTGAGACGTCTCACCATTCGAGGAAGGAGCGCTTGGCAGTTGAATCGTCGCCCACTAGCACCACCGTGAGCTTATTTAGCGAGTTCTGAGACGTCTCACCACTCGAGAAAGGAGCGCTTGGCAGTGGAGTCGTCGCTCACTAGCTACCAGCACCGTGAGCTTGTTTAGTGAGTTAAAGCTGAGCTGGTCAACTTGAGACGTCTCACCATTCGAGGAAGGAGCGCTTGGCAGTTGAATCGTCGCCCACTAGCACCACCGTGAGCTTATTTAGCGAGTTCTGAGACGTCTCACCACTCGAGAAAGGAGCGCTTGGCAGTGGAGTCGTCGCTCACTAGCTACCAGCACCGTGAGCTTGTTTAGTGAGTTAAAGCTGAGCTGGTCAACTTGAGACGTCTCACCATTCGAGGAAGGAGCGCTTGGCAGTTGAATCGTCGCCCACTAGCACCACCGTGAGCTTATTTAGCGAGTTCTGAGACGTCTCACCACTCGAGAAAGGAGCGCTTGGCAGTGGAGTCGTCGCTCACTAGCTACCAGCACCGTGAGCTTGTTTAGTGAGTTAAAGATGAGCTGGTCAACTTGAGACGTCTCACCATTCGAGGAAGGAGCGCTTGGCAGTTGAATCGTCGCCCACTAGCACCACCGTGAGCTTATTTAGCGAGTTCTGAGACGTCTCACCACTCGAGAAAGGAGCGCTTGGCAGTGGAGTCGTCGCTCACTAGCTACCAGCACCGTGAGCTTGTTTAGTGAGTTAAAGCTGAGCTGGTCAACTTGAGACGTCTCACCATTCGAGGAAGGAGCGCTTGGCAGTTGAATCGTCGCCCACTAGCACCACCGTGAGCTTATTTAGCGAGTTCTGAGACGTCTCACCATTCGAGAAAGGAGCGCTTGGCAGTGGAGTCATCCCCCACTAGCAGCACTGTGAGCTTATTTAGCGAGTTAAAGCTGAGCTGGTCAACTTGAGACGTCTCACCATTCGAGAAAGGAGCGCTTGGCAGTGGAGTCATCGCCCACTAGCAGCACTGTGAGCTTATTTAGCGAGTTAAAGCTGAGCTGGTCAACTTGAGACGTCTCACCATTCGAGAAAGGAGCGCTTGGCAGTGGAGTCATCGCCCACTAGCAGCACTGTGAGCTTGGGTGGAGGGCCGCTCACTGCCTGCCCCACCAGCGGATCACCTGCCACGTGGCTCAAGCACAGAAATTCTGGCAGGCGCGGAGGAGAGGGGAGCGGAGGGGAGCGGAAGGCAGGTGGGCGGAGCGGGGGGGAAGGGAGGGCGCAGAGGGGGAGGGAGGGAAGCGGGTGAGAGTGACACAGCGGGTATTAGTAGCGCCGCAAGGGAACGCAATGCAACGCAACTCAACGAAACGCACTGCAAAGCACCGCGACGCGACGCGACGCACCGTTCATGGGGGAATCCGGCGGCGGGCAGTACGCTTCGGAGACGAGGCGCAGCGCGGTTTCCTGAGGTCCCATGCCGGTCCACCCGAGACACGCCATGGCTCGCACGCGCCGAAATTTCTATTCTGAAATCGCTTTTCTGAAATTGCTATTCTGAAATGGTCGATACTGGGCCGGCTCACGCCCTCCCGGTCGCCGCCACACGCGACTCACTCAGACTACCCACGCACGAGTCACGAAATTGGTTCGAGCCCGTCTGGTAACCGTTTCGTGACTGTTCCGAGATCGAGTCGCGATGATCTCGAGACTCACACAGTTCCAAGGCGAAGGGTGTGGGGTGGGTGGGGTTATCTCAACGACAGCGAGGAGGCTTGGTTACAATCGAGCCGGAGAAGAATCGATCTTGTGCAGTGCAGCAAGCAAGCAATGCTATGGATCCAAAATGCAATGTTCGATCAGCTGTGTCGGCTCAGCGAGTCAGCAGCAGCGCACGTGACTCACGCCTGCCCAGTTTCCTTACGCTTCTTGCCTGCTGCTCCTATCAGCCTAAGGGACAAAGACACAGCGGATTCGGCACATTGCTTGGGTTGGATTGGGAGGGACAGCCAACCTGAGCCTTCGCCCCTGACAGATCGCTGATGAGACCATTGGTATTGCCGAGCATCTAATGATGCTTCTAGAAGTCGCTTCGCTTCCACCTTTATTTCTCGTTTGATAAATCTTCACAACATAGAGCCAGAAAGTACCAATGTAAGGTGAGCTACAATGTTAGCTTTTACTGCACAATGCATCAGCACCAATTATATGTGCAGGCATTCTCGTTAAATTACGAGTCTAGTAACCGTGTCATCACATTCGTCCAAAAAGGCTAGAGGTTGCATTGCGTTGCATCCTCTCCTCTGTATCTCAGACCCTGACCATAAAATTACATGTACTAGTACCGTACCGTGCATTTCTATTTCACAGGCTGGAGCTTCATTTCACCACCATAGCAGCTGCAGAAGCAGCAACCGAATCACCAGCAGCAGCACAGCTGCTGCAACAGCAGCAGCATGCCTTTTGAGGCAGCCCCACCACCACGCATGCGTGATCATCATCCGGCCTTGTTGAACATGCCCGTTCCACGCTTCTTCTCGTCCACCCTGTACCATTGACCAGCCAGCCACACGGGAAGAGAGGGTGACAGATACAAACTTAAACAGCGGCAGCAGGGTTTAGAGTTAATGCAAGGTGTGGAGGTGCTAAAAAGGTGTGGGGAGGAAGGTGTAAGGGGCGAAGGTTCTGTTGGATAGTGTCGAAACGCTAATACAGGACTATGGCTTTTCTTGGGTGGGAGAAGATTGGGACAGGGAAGGTCAGCAGGAGAAGTGCATAAGAGCGTGTTCCTACAGGCTCATATCAGGCAACCTCGTATCAGATTCGCGTCAAACCGCACTAAAACGCATCCAACCGCAATCGAACACACTGAAACGTATTTCACCACGCGAAGCTGATACGAGCTGTGTCTGATACGAGGTGTAGGAACACGCTCTAAGAAGCACAATAGACGTATGCTTGAAGCCTAAGCCAGTTGAGGTTCCTACTGCCTCTGTTATTCTGAAGCATGCAGTGCAGTCATATCCTTCTCCCTTTTTACCCTTCTTCCCCCACGTCCCACCCATCCATCCACTCACAGGTTCCCAATGGACCACATGGCCTTGCCCAACAAGTTATCCACCATCGTCCCATCTGTCTCTTCTTCAGGCCGCACCTAAACACCCGTTTCTATGACTCTGAGACAAGTCCCATCATCACTTCCCCATCCCTCCCTCCCACCCTCTGTCCCAACCTCCCCTCTCCATCCATCCATGCACTCACAGGTTCCCAATGGAGCGCATGGCCATGCCCGACACGTTATCCACCACCGTGCCATCCGCCTCCAGAGTGTAATTCGCCCCTGGCAGGTGCAGCAGGCCCTTCTTGGTCAACGCAATCAACTCCTTCTTCGGCACCTCCCGCCCGTTCACATACACCCGAGTCTTGCCGCCCGCTCCGGAGCAGTCCTTTTCCATTGGGTGGTTTCCAAACTCGTGCATGAATGCCTGTTGTGGGGGGAGGGGGTGGTGGGGGGTTGAGGAGGAGGGGTGAGAGGGTTGAGGAAGAGCATGCAGGTTGGAGAGGAAGAACGAGGGGAAGCGTTAGTGGGAAGGTTCGGTTGGCAGGTGCAGCAGGCCCTTCTTGGTCAACGAAGTCAACTCCTTCTTCGGCACCTCCCGCCCGTTCACATACACCCGAGACTTGCCGCCCGCTCCGGAGCAGTCCTTCTCCATGGGGTGGTTTCCAAACTCGTGCATGAATGCCTACGTTGGCAAATACGCGTATCATGTATAATACGCTAGCGTATTATACGCTGGGTATATACGCGGTACGCAATGGCTGGCATACTGCTGATACGCTAAAATACGCTGGGCGGGCAGGTGAAACTTTTTTCCTGGGCAGTAGAGCTGTGAACAGAGGCTGCATTGCTCGTCGAACTAGTAGGAGCTGCGCTCGACGCCATGGCGCGCGACTACGGGACGTCTAACTAACGGGGAAGAATGCTAGACGAGACCTGCGGGAAGTAATTGAAGAGCATTATGGAAGTCGTCGAATGCTCACGAAGTGATGAACATTTGAAAGGGGTGGTTGGGTTTGAGAGGTTGGGTGGGGTGGTGTGTGGTTGAGTGGGTGGGAAAGTTTGGATTTTGACATTCGAAGTTCAGACGTGGGTAGGGTGCTTGAGCGAGTTCGCGGTAACAATTTGCGAAGCCGCAAAGTCGTCGCGAATTTTTTCAATTTCGGATTTTTTTTACCGCGGGCTGCCCGGGCGTATTTTCGCAAATCCAGAGCGCATTAGCGTACCACGTATATACGCTAGCGTATATACGTGGTACGCCAGCCTTCCCAAAGCGTATCTGCCAACGTAGATGAATGCCTGGTGGGGAAAGAGAGGGGGAGGAGAGGGAAAAACGGGAGGAAGAGGTAATTTGTGGGGAAAAAAGAAGAGGGGAGTGTGAGCGGGAAGGCTCAGTTGGGAGTGTGGTTCTCAAAACCTGTAATCAAAAGGCCTTTGGAGAGATGATGCAACAGTAGAAACATATTCGAGAGAGTGTGGTGAGTGTAGGGGTGCATGTGCATCCTGACAATTTTAGTAAAGCGAATCTAAAGTGAGAGCAGGCGGCCGGCGTGTAATAATGGGTTGGAATGGAGGGAGGACAGCAGCAGGAAAACACGGGCGGAATGGAACAGCTGGCACGACGGGCGAAATACTGAAGGGCTGACGCGAGGAGACTCTTGAATCGACTCAAAAGTCACCTCGAAAACACGGGTGGAATGGAACAGTTGGCACGATGGGCAAAATAATCAAGGGCTGACGTGAGGAATGCAAGAAGAAGGGAAGAGCGGCAGGCGAACAGGAGTGGGAGTGGGAGTGGGAGTGGGAGAGGGGGAAGGAGAGGGAGGCATACCGGCAGCACACCAAGAGATGGCCCGCCCATGACTCCCCAGAAGCCAGCTCGGATGTCGTACCTGTGGGGTGGGAAAGGGACGGAAGGGCACGCGACAGGAGACAGGATAAGAGAGAAAGTCGGGTGCCCAGGGTGCCATTGCCCAGGATTGCTCGATTATTCTCCACTTATCCATCACAAGAGGAGGGGGGGAGGGAGGGAGGGAGGGAGGGAGGGAGGGAGGGAGGGAGGAGGGGGCAGGGGGGCTACAACGCGTGGTCACAAAATGCTGCAGTGTTGCCTCTGTCACACCCCCATACTAGTGGTGAAGAACAAAACTGGGAAGTTCCCAATGCTAGTACATCGCCTCACTCTTCAATATATTCTACAGTGCTCCTTCCATGCATATTCAAGTTCGTTGACACGCATCCCTGTTCCTTGGAGGTGTTGCTTTTGAGAATTCTCAAAAGGTAACGTGCTGTTCTGTTCCTTCCATGCATCCATACAGCGTTCCATTCATTCAGTTCAGTGCGCCTCCCTCACACCTTCTCTCAAACCACGCCCTTTCTCAAGACATTCCCCTGGGTTAGTGGAGCCGATTCTCTGCTCTCTCCGCACCACGCGCTGGCCAGACTTTGGAGACGCCTCAAAACTACCCCTCACAACCCCCTGCCCCGCAAAACCCCCCCCCCGGGTGCTTACCCCCGGGTCAATGGGACCGATCCTCTGCTCTGCCTGCACCACGCGCTGGCCAGGCTTTAAAGGCGCCTCAAACCTACCCCCCACATCCCTCCCCCTCCCCCCCCCCCCCCTCTCTCCCCCCCAGTGCTTACCAGTATTTCCCCGGGTCAATGGGACCGATCCTCTGCTCGGCCTGCACCACCCGCTGGTCAGGAACGGCCTGCCCATTCACCCAGATCTTCCGCCGGTACTGCTCCCCGCCTGTCAAGCTCCTCCGCATACCGAGACGTCTCAGAAATACCCCTCCCTTCCCTGCTTACCAGTATTTCCCCGGGTCGATGGGTCCAATCCTCTGCTCGGCCTGCACCACCCGCTGGTCCGGAACGGCCTGCCCGTTCACCCAGATCTTCCGCCGGTACTGCTCCCCGCCTGTCGAACTCCTCCTCATTGGCGGCCTCGCCTCCTCTGCATCAGCAGCAGCAGCACCTGAAGCTTCTCCTGCCGGTCTGCGGCGGAAAGAGGAGCTTCCCACTCCTGCTAGCGGCGTCCCAGCCACGGCCCCGCCCACAGAAGCAGAAGCACCACCACCACCACCTGCCATTCTCGCTGATCCCACGCGTCGAAACACCCCAGCTCCTGCTGCTCCTCCTCCCCCTCCTCCTCCTCCCCCTCCTCCGCCTCCTCCTCCTCCTCCTCCTCCGCCTCCTCCGCCCTCGCTGCCTGGACCACCACTGAACCCAAACTGCCCAGAGCTACTAGCCTGTCCGCCGACCTGAGAGGCACCGCTGGGGGTCATAGGGACAGCAACCACACGAGACCCCGCTGCATCTCTGTTCGACAGCACGCGTCGCACACCCCTAGGCGCTTGCTGCTGCTGCTGCTGCTGCTGCGCCAGTGCCCCACCTGGTCCCCCAGGCCCCCCAGGTCCCCCAACAGCCCCCCCAGCCCCCCCAGGTCCCCCAGCAGCCCCCCCAGCCCCCCCCGGTCCCCCCAGCCCTTGGTTTCTCTCCTTGAAGCTGGGCGATGGGATCAAGTTTTGGTTCTGAATCTGGTTCTGGTTGTTGCTCTGGTTGTTGCGCTCGTTGAAGCTCCCTCCACCCCTGCTTGCCGCCTCTGCCAGGCTGCGGGATGCTGTAGAAGTGAGGGAGCGCTGGGATTGCAGTGGCGGCAGTTGCAGCTGTAGCTGCGGGGCCTGCTGCTGTGCCTGCTCCTGCTGCCACTGCTGCTGCTCTTGCTGCATTCCCTGCTGCTGCATCATCGCATGCTGCTGCTGTTGCTGCTGCCATTGATACTGCTGCTGCTGCTGCTGCTGCATGCCTGCGGGCATCCCTCCTGCTGGCCCCATCGCATGGGGCGTGGAGAGGTGATACATATTCTGTGCCTGCAGCAACTGCTGCTGCTGCATGGGAGTGGGAGGCGGCGGCTGCTGATACTGTTGCTGGTATTGTAACTGCTGCTGCTGTTGCTGCTGCTGCTGCTGTTGCTGCTGCTGCTGCTGTTGCTGCTGCTGCTGCTGTTGCTGCTGCTGCTGCTGTTGCTGCTGCTGCTGCTGCATGAGCATCGGTGGTCTACCAGACGGAGTCATGGGCCCATACCCTCGCCCTGGCGGCCCTTGATACGCCATCCCTTCACCAACCCCACTCCAGTTCCCGCTCCCACCCCCACCCCGCATCAAACCTCCCATCCCACCCCCACCCCCAACCCCAACCCCAGGCCCATACCCGTATCCATACCCCTCCCCTGCAGCCCCTGCATCGCTCCCATTCCCATATCCGCCTCTACCATTTTCAGAGAAATCAGTCTCACCATGTACACCCCCACCACCTGTATCCAGCTGTCTCTGTGGACCCGGCTTGCTCTTGTTCTTGCTCTGCTTCTTGTTCCCACTCCCGCTCCCACTCCCGCTCCCACTCCCGCTCGTGCCCCCGTTCCCGTTCCGATTCCGGTTCCCCTCGCCTTTCTGCTCCGCCCACTCACCCACCGCTCCGCCATTCCCCCCCTCCTCCCCACGCCCCGCCCCACCATTGTACTCGTCATAACCCTGCTCGTTATAATAACCCCCCTCGTTACACTCACTCCGCACTGCCTCCTGCCCATACACATCCCGTCCCTCCCCATAGCTAGAATTCAACTGCTGAGTATTCGACTCGTGACTACCCCACTCGTTACTCTCCCCAGAATACCCAGCCTCTGCACCATAATCCCCTCCTGCGCCGTATCCCTCCGCCCCTTCACCCCCTTCTCTCTCCATGTACCATTGCATTTGCAACCCCTGCTGCTGCTGCTGCTGCCACCGCTCCTGCTCCTGCTCCTGCTGCTGCTGCTGCTGCAGCCGCTCCTCCTGCTCCTGCTGCTGCTGCTCGTTGTAAGGCTGTTCTGACCCAGCAACAGCTTGTTTCTTCTTGGTCTTTTTCTTCACTACCTTCTCCTTCTCCTTGGTCTTCTTGCTACCACTGCTCTTACCGGCCGCCACAGGGGATCCTAGAGGGGGGCGCCGTGTGCTTAGCGGGGACAGCGGACGGCCCGTAATGACTGACAGCGCCCCTGCCCGTCCTTCCCCTTCCCCTCCCCCTCCCCCTCCCACACCTCCTCCTCCTCCTCCTTCGCCCCAACCTCCTCCTTCTGCCATCCCCTGTTGGGCCTGGAGTAAAGACACACCGGGTTACCACAAGCATGGTTGGATAGGAGAGTGATCGTACAGAGAGTGATCGTACGACAAGAGTTGAGCAAAAGGGGGGAGACGGAGGGGGAGGAAAGGGGGAGGGGAGGGGGAGGGGGAGAGGGCGGGAGAAGGCAGTATAGTATAGGAGGCGAGGGTGGACTGAAATCTATCGGATTCACGCAGCAAATCAGGGAGGGGAGCAGACCCAAAACGAAAAAAAGGCGTGAGGGATGGGTGGTGAGACGTACAGCAAGCCATGCGAGACAGACAGCACGCACACCACGCGCAGCAACATAGCACAGCACATGCAGCGTAGGCAGCTTACCCGATCGTCTTCACTGGATGAGCTCGTCGGAAACACTCGCCCGCACTCCGCCTCTTGAACGCCCATCACACCGCCTCCACCTCTCCCCCCTCCGCCCATTCCCCCAACTCCGCCCATTCCGCCCATTCCGCCCGTTCCGCCAGCCCCGCGCCCCACACTGACGCCGATATCACTCCCGCAGGAGGTCCCCGCGGGGTCCAGGGGCGGGGGGGAGCCGCAGCGGGTGTGCGCGGCAGGGGCGGTGGGGGGGCCGAACTCGCTCTGGCGGGCTTTCCGCGCGGCAATGGCGCGCTGCGCTGCTGCTGCCGCGTGCGCGTCCACTGCCTGCCTCGCCCTCTGTCCTAACGGCTGCTGCGGCGCTTGCTGCTGCGCCGCATGCTCCTGCTGCTGCTGCTGCTGCTGGTTGTATTGTTGTTGTTGCTGCTGCTGTTGATGAAGCTTGTTTTGACTAGGTGCCGGCATAGGCGGCAGCTGAAATCCCGAGTGGTCGGAGGAGGAGGACGGTGACACAATAGCCGCCTGCTGATACGCCGGCAACTGCTGCTGCTGCAGCTGTTGCTGCTGCTGGTACTGCTGGTACTGCTGCTGCTGGTAGCTACCCCAGCTGTCACCTCCCCCGCCTTGCCCCATGGGGGAAGGAAGCGGCGGCTGCCGCGGCGACGGCTGGTAGCTCAACCGAGACCCACCGTGCCCCATCTCACCAGACCCCGGCGGTCCTTTTCCAGCACCTCCTTTTGTATAAGCCTGATTAGGGTTAGAATACGGGTCCATATGCGAAAAGTCGTCTACGAAACCTTGCATCTGCTGCTGCTGCTGCTGCTGCTGCTGCTGTGGTTGCTGCTGTTGAGTCTTTTTGGATTTTACCTTCGCCTTTGCCTTCGGCTTTGTTTTCTGGATGGTTGGGAGCGAGTCTTCAGGTTCCATTCCCGACCATTGCGATCCGACTTCACTATAAGCGCACTCGTCATGGTACCCGTTCATTTCTCCCGCTCCGTATTGCTCGTTATTGTACGAAGGTTCCTCATACTGCGTCGAGCCCTGATACGGGACCTGCTGCGACCAGCCTCCGTAGCCGTCAACACTACCGCGGCCGTCAGCACCACCTGCCGGTCCGTCTCTTCTGTCCGGACTCGGCCGGCCGCGAGAACTTTTCTGTATTCCTTTGCCGGCGCCGTCTCTTATCAAATCGCTCCTCGTGCGTCGCACTTCAGGTGGGTTCGAGTCGGAATCGCTATGGGTCGCCTGACGAGTCGTCTCGCTTTGCGTGCGATTCACTGGCGGCGGAACGCCCGCCTCCGCACCGTACTCAACACCATCGTCACCGTAGTCGTCACCGCCGTTACCTCCGCCGGAGGTGTAAGAATTCTCCTCGTTCCAAACCACCGACTTTCCCGCCACCGCGCTGCTCGCTCCACCGATGCTTCCTCCCCTCCCACGACTGCTGCCGCCTCCGACGCCGCCGCCGCCACCGCCGCCGCTGGCGTCGCTGTCGGCGAATTGAAACGAGGCAGACGACGACTGGGACGGAGTTTGTCGGCGAGTGGAGGACTTCAGAGAAGGCTTTAAGTTACGACTGGTAGATTCTGTGACGGAATTAGACGGCGGGAATGGTGACGCGGCCTTGGAGCGATGCGGTTTGTCGGGTGCGGTTGTGGCTGGTTGCTGACGTGGATGCTGCTGCTGATGGATTCTTCGGGTTGCCATGAATTAGTGATTAGAATTAGTTGAAGCTGACGGCAAGTATGGCTATGCACCGAAAATTATGGCGACGTCAGTTCAGAAAGGGTCTGAAATATTGAAAGGAAGCCGACAAAAAACAGCGGGAACAATCGCGACGCAACGTAGATTAAGAAGTAAGACACACTGGGAGGACGGTTTTGTTGTACTCAGACTCACGAGAGCTTAGAAAAACGGAAGACACTAGACACCACAACAAAAGGAGGTTTCGATGTTACAAGACACTAGACCAGCACTAAGATTCGCAACCCGTGGCCGCTAGTAGAACTGTATTACAGCAGCATTGCTCTTCTGGTGTTCATTTCCAACCGCCTTTGCAACAGACTTCGCTCGTTGCGGGAGTGCACTGCACATAAATTAGTGCTGAGCCGACGTGACGATTTCTGCGTCCCAGCCAAGCTTCTTTCTGCAACAGCAGCAGCAGCATGGATGCAGGAAATGTAAATAATAACGAAACCACCAAAGCAATTGCAGTGCAGTCATACACTGGCTGGCCTGACCATCTTTCACACACCGTAAGGAAGGCCAGGCGAGGCATGGTGAGGAATAGCTCGAGGTTAGGAACCCGGCCTGGGCAGGAACGTCGAGCGGTGACGTCATGGCCTGTTCCCTCTGAGCTGCACGGATGGTGATTGGTGCTCAGCCTGGCTTGGGAGCCTGTTTGGTTCGAGAAAGTGGTTGGGTTTTGGGGGGACGTTGAGGTAAGGCAAGGGAGGTACGGACGAAAGGGTACACAAAACTGTCGGTGATGAAAAACGGCAGTAAGGACACATTAGGACTAAGTGGGAAGGGGCGCACCAAATGGTCCTCTTTCAAACGCGTACATTTCGCTTGAAGCCGACCGTTACGATGTCGTGTACGATGTTCCTTCGCGTGTGTCCACTGGGATGAGTTGGATATTCGTCTGGATGCGATTGGATGCGATTTTAATGGGCAAAGAGTATCCATCCAAACAGTGCAGGAACAAGCACCCTTTATTCGTTTCACCGGGAGAACAAAATAAGGGACTACAATTTACGCCATCAACTACGGAGGCTAGGGAGGCATAACAATCCTCGGTTGCTTCACTGGACATTTGGGTGATCCCAGGAGGAAATCTGGTCCCCATTTCCACCGCAGCAGTACAACGGATCGTCGTCAGGGCAAAACTGTGCGAGGGTGACAGGCAGGAAAGCTGAGAGACTCCCACACAATTGGCCGGGCGAGGCCTAAGGCCCAATTGACCCCCACGGCATTGTCCAAACGAAACTCTGGCAGTTTCTGCAACTGCCACATTGCTGGATGGCAAAAGCTGCTTAGCTGGTTCGGCAGGTGTCGTCCCAACCAAATCAAGACAAGCTCGGTCCGCCTGTCCGATGTTCCTGAATGTCAATGTAGGTGTGCCGCTTCATTCGAGTCACACAGCTCCCAGCTATGATTAGTCTATTCTGCCAACTTTGATAACACCTTACCCATTTGTAGTATAGCAAACTAAAGTATGCCTGGAGCTATTCACCACTTACATAGACTAACTAATACATGCAACTCAGTTCCTGATTTGTTATCTTCTTCGAAACAGATTTTTTTTTACACCGCTGCTGTTGTTTCTAGAGAATCACAATATCAAACATAGAATTAAAGAATAAAAAATAACCACTGGGCTATGAATTAGTTATCTAATATATTCAGTCTTAGAGAAATTCGGGATGATTAGCACACTTCAAGGTAAAGTAACTTGTTATATTTCTGATGTTATTGCTAAAGGATCGTAGTGGATAGGATAAGGTTGCCAAGTATAAGGGAGAGAACTCTGAAGTCTCTGTAATGATCTTGTCAATGGATTGAAAGAGAACAAGATGATTATAAGATAGAAGTACAAGAGTATAAATAGCAAGCCTAGCTAGCCATGTACTTTGAGGGGTACATTCCCTTATTAACTGAATTGCATTGCTACAGTAACCCACGACTATTGCCATTCTAGACAGTTACCATGTTGCATTTTGCAACTGTCTTGTGCGGTTACTGGGTAGTCAAGGGTCACGACCGTTGACTCTCTTCGACTGTTGACCTTCGGGTGACCCTCGATCTTCCGCGTGCTCTATATGAGCTCATGCGGTACTGGTACAAGCATTAGCTTCGCTATGAGGAGACGCGACAGTGGAGAGCCTTCGGGAATGCTTGTGATAACCTTTCGGTTATTCCAACACTCCCCTTCATTCCTGAAGGTGAGCCACGTGGGATTTCTTGGTGATCCCGCAAAGATTGGCGCAGTGCTGGAACTGTTGACGTGGCAGTTTCTTTGTCAGGAAGTCGGCTGCCATGTCACCAGTCGGGCAGTACGTGAGCTTGACCTTGCCCTTGTCGATTTCGTCCTTGACGAAGAAGTAGCGAAGGGCGATGTGTTTCGTGCGGTTCACGAAGCCGGGCTTATTTGCGATCGTGATCGCGCTCTGGTTGTCGCAGAGTAACGAGAAGTGTCAGTTCATCGTTACTTTCGCTTCCTGCAGAAGCTCCATCAGGTACAATCCTTCGCGAATAGCTGCGCTGGCGGCGATGAATTCTGCTTCGGCTGACGAAAGGGCGATGAGTTCCTGCTTCTGAGAATTCCATGAGATGAGTCCAGCAGGTTGAAGCTGAAAAATGAACCCTGTGCGGGAGCGTCTGTTGTCAACATCTCCCGCATGGTCAGCGTCTACGTAACCGTGCAGCTGCAGAGTAGCCGTTAAGTTAGCTTCGTAGGTGAGGCCAACGTCGGGAGTAGAGATGAAGTATTGAGGTGCGCGGCGTAGATCCTGTAGATTCTCCCCTTCAGGTCGCTTCATGTACTGAGCGAGCTGGCTTGCGACGTAGGAGAGATCGGGCCGGCACGTGACGACGGCAAACAGGAGGCACCCGAGCTGCTGCTGATAGAGCCGATGATCCTCGAGAGAGAGAGGCGTGGTGTCTGGTTCGTGGTTAGGAGGAGGAGTGCGAAAGGGGGTGGAGAGGTTGATGGGTGCGATGTCGAATTTCTTCGCGAGTGTCTCGGCATATTTGGCGGCGGAGAGGTGAATGGAGGAGGCAGACTGGGTGATGTCGAGCCCCAGGAATTGAGTGATGTCGTGGTTGACAGTGACCTCAAGCTGCTCCTTAATATCCGCTTCGAACTGGTCTAGTAGCTCCGTGTCGTCACCGGTGTAAAGGAGATCGTCGACGTAGGCAACGAGAAGGATAAATTTGCCGCGCGACTCCTTCCTGTACATGCCGAGGTCGTGTGGTAGCTGTTGGAAGCCGAGCTTCGTGAGCACGGTGTGCAGGTACTGTTGCCACAGGCGAGGTGCTTGCTTTATCCCGTAGAGGGATTTTTGGAGCAGGCAGACGGCGCCGTCATTCTCTTCGAAGGCGTGTGGCTGTTCGACGAAGATGAATGCGTCGACCGGAGCGTACAAGAATGCACTGCCGACATCAATTTGACGGAGTGGGCGCCGTTTGACGGCTGCGATGCAGATGAGGATTCGCACGGAGGTGTGCCGTCCGACTGGTGCGTAGGTGAGGTCGAAATCCACCAAGTGAGTTTGCTCGAACCCGCGTACCACCCATCGCGCTTTGTATTTGTCGATGGAGCCATCCGCTAGTGTTTTGATGCGGAACACCCATTTCCCGCTAAGAATTTTCCTCCCTTTCGCAGATGTCCGGGGAACAAGCTTCCAAGTGCCACGGCTTTTAAGCGATGCGATCTCCTTGGCCATGGCTGCCTTCCACTTCTCACTGTCGGGGCCGGAGAGAGCTTGGCGAACGGTGGTAGGTTCCTTGGGGGAGGTGTGGCGAACAGCGACGGCGAGCCCAAGGATCCGGAGGCCAGTTTCGTTGGTCTTCTCGTAGTGCAGACGATCGTAGTCGTGGAAGCTGGTTACTTCGACCACGTCGTCGTCGCTTTCGTTGCCAGGGCGGATGGAGTCCTGCGAGGTGTTTGGTGGTGGTAACTCGGCATCTGGTGACTGGCGGGCGTCGCTGTTGAAGTTGTGAGCTTCGCGAGTTGTATGATCAGGGTCAGGTTGGTGTAGAGGGATGAAAGT